TGCATCGAAAAAGCTTTGCCAGCCTTAACCTAATGGGGAAATTGGCCTCTATAGTTCCTCACTATGGCATGGCCCGTTAAGGGCTAAGCTTGCATGGGCTTTTGTTTGTAATCCAGGTACCCTATTCCACAAATGTATTTGAAGCAAAAATGGTACTGATCTGTGGAACCGTGATGCCAAGAGAGGAGATTCAATCACCTGGAAGGTTCTAAAGGATGAGACTATTAGTCTTAGGCCCATCATCCGTTCGAGAATTGCTATAGAGGGATGGCTTTCATGCTCTGGAGCAAGCATCGATTCTCAATAGACCCCTTAATCTTTGTCCAACTTTCCTCAAAATGAATGGTATTGAAGATTTTAAAGTTACCGATCTGATATGGAATGATTCTTGAAATAGTCCTGCAATTCATTTCAAGTGGTAGAGATCTTTGCAATTCAATCCAGGATATACCTTTATATTATAGTGATACCCAGACGAACAGACTTGAACTCATCTCCTTGTTCTCAGGAAATACTATTACAGCTCAAGCATTTCGAGCCATATTTCCTTTCCAGCATACAGGAACCGATTGGATTTGGCGTCTTAAACTCCAGCCAAGGGAGAGAATTTTCTAGTGGCGTCTCAACATTAATGCAACAAGCCTTCCGAATTGTTGGTTGTCTCGCAGAGGGCTTGTGAATACAGCCTTGTACCTTTGGGAGCATCAAAAACTTGAAGATAGTGATCCTATCACTACTGCATGTTCTATTGTTATTGATGCCTCCGATAAGTTAGACAATTAGGGGATGCATGTTCTTCGGTATAAGAATTTCCAAGAGGTCATATGTAAGCTTGCGAAAGTCAGGAATAGTGGAGTGGCCTTAGCAGGTAACGTAAACACTCTATTACGTGATCTACAAATGTTGGCATGCTCGTAAGGCCAAGAAACACAGCAAAGTTTATGGAACGCCAACCATTATTGCCTCCATAGTCCTGGAGGGTTTAACCTGGACACATCCTCTCATTCTGAAGCACTCAACCTACTCGGTATATATATATACATAAACACTATCATTTGTAAGCAGGAAAGAATTGGCAAGATTCATAAGCAGGAAAGAATTGGCAAGATTCATTTACAATCATGTGTCAATACTAAACTCTATCCTTTACAAGATGTAATGTTGACATGGTTCAAATCAAACAATCAAAATCTCTGATGATGGACGCGTTAATCGAAATCTCAACAAGAAGGGTCGCTTTATAAATTAAGATTTTTTAAATCAAATTTTCAAAATAACAAAATAAACACTCAAGTTAAAGTTAAATCGAGTAAGAGTTAAAGCAAATTTCATCCACCTACAATAATTTGTCGAGTTATTCAGAGTGACAAAATTTTGATTGACTTCAACTCACACAAGAGCTAATGTCATATCAAGTGTACCATTATATTAACACTCTAAGTAATTTTATGTTAGTAAGGACACGACTAGAGTCGTCAATCTGTGTGGTTTGGCTCAACGGCTCCACAAAATAGCAATTATGACCAAGGCTCTCTGATCGGGTGGTTGTCTTCAAATGACACCATTATATTATGATCAAAAACACAACCCGTATGTTCCCCAATAGTTTTCTAACCTTCGAGTTATGAATCATAAGGATATAATTGATTGGCATAAAGTCTTTTGACAGCTAAGGTTGAATTAAATTTATCCCCTTAGACAAGCATCCACCTAAGATCTACAAGGGTCCTTTGAACGATGCAAACCGTAGTTGCTAATAAGGATCTTTCCGTTAAGTTGGGTCGATTACCTCATCTGACCAAATAGATTGGGGATTAAGACAATTAGTCCAATGAAAGTGCTTTTGACTAAATTCAAGTTTACAGTTTCTTGACAACTCACCTTAAGAAGATTGGCGCGGGGAGCATGAGGTTGACCGGTTCAGCCATGGGATACAAGGGGTCGGCCAGTCCCTTGCCCAGTTTTGAGTTGCCGCCCAAGGAGATGAGGCTTTCACCCTCCTAGTTATCTACTACAATATATAATATATGTTCTCTAGTTAGGATTTTTTAGTTTTATTTTGAGATTTTTGCCATCAGATTTGTTTTCCCTTGTTAAGAGTTGTATCCGAGAATAAGTAGTGCTTTGGTTGTATCTTGTTCCGATGTGATCATTACTCTGTATTTTCCTTCCCTCTACCCTCTATTTGCTTATTATCACCCCTTCCCAGCGCCCCTGTCTGCTATTGCTCTTTTATTTCCCGTCATAACCCTTCTACCAACCTTCCTCCCTATCGCAACCCCTATATCAGACTTCTTCCCTGCTGTAACCCCTCTACCAGCCTTCCTCCCCATCACAACCCCACTACCAGACTTCTTCCCTACTGTAAGCCCTCTACAAGCCTTCCTTTCGCAACTCCCCCTATACACGCCATCATTCGTCCCTGCAGCAATTGTCAGACTGCATCCCTACGACTACCTAACCGACATCCTTCCTCCATCCACCTGCTCAGCCCACTCAAACAATTACCAGTTTGTTGTCCTCCTACCCTGCAACCCTCCATAACCTTTGCTTCCCCTCAAACTCCGACCTATACCCTAGTTTTGTGTGTGTCGTTTTCTTATTTTCAGATGTCTTGGTTATAGTCCCTTCAAAATTTCAGCACCACCTTTTTGACCTACTCCCTGTCATAACCCCTTTACCAGCCACCTCCCCTCCAGAAACCAAACACATGGTGTGAAATACTAGAAAAATCACTTCAAGTATTCCTCGAGACAAGAATCAAACTCAAGAATTTTTTGGTCTAAAAAAAGACACTGAGGTGAACAATGAGGCATTACATTAAAATAATACATCTTAGAAAGAAACAATACCAAAGGTTTATAGTGGTCAGCTTAAAAGGCTAGGACTTCCATATTCAAAGTTTTTTATGTCAATAAGAGAGTAGACACTCAAAAAGGTTTAAAAATTAATTACAAAGCAAATAGGCTATCCTCAGAGAACTTGAGATGTATTAAACAAATAATTTCAAAATAAGACTCGTAATTCAGAAGATTTGAGTCATTAACAAGTTTTCATCGCACAATTAGCATTAAGATATGACATATTAAAAATTCAACTCCCAAAGATCCGTCACCTAAATATCTAAACTACACACTAGAGACTAAGGCCTAAAGTACCCAAACTTCAATGATGAGCACGAGGATGTGGCATCTAAGCAAAGCAATCCTCGAAGGACCACCACCAAATGTCCTAGCATATGGGGAAAAGGAATTCTTTTATGGCTACTTGAGAAAACCAAATGCATAAAGCTAGTGGGCACTAATTATAAAAGTCACTTCAAGATAGCACAAACTCTGAAAGACTTAGGTCTCCCAAAAAACGCCACAAGATGAATACTAAGTCATGAGTAATATATCTCCCAGGCCTACATCATTGAAAAGTCCTAGGACCAAATCATGAACGTTGTAGAGAAAACCTTTTAAAGATAAACTATTTTACATGCTTTGTAAGATTAATAATGAGTTTGTCAACCGTTTAGGGAAGTATTAGAATTGGAGGGGGGTGAAAACCATAAGGAGGCTAAGATAAGGAAAAGGACATGCTAAGCTAAATATGAAGCTTCAAGGTGTATGAGTGGTTGTCTAGCATTTGCGAATTTGGGTTATGATAAAGATGGATTTGATGTGTGGTGCTATTGCTTGTAGAAAAGAGGAATTGGATGTAGGGTTCTTGGAGAGGTTTCTTGCACTTTGGAAGATTACCTCTTTGTTTGAAAATTGAGAGGTGTAAAGTGAAAAACAATAAATAATTTAAGGTAATTGTTGCACTCACCAACGTAGCAAGGGTTGGACCAACCACCAACACCTAAGGAGCTTCCCATGAAATTAAAATGGCGAATATTTTATTTTAACAATAATTCAAGACAAGGATACATATCACGTATTCATAGAGCAACCAATCCAATCCTAGGGTGGTGGGCAAATTTGGAAAAAAATTTGTGGTCACTTATATCGAGTCTCAGGGATTTTCGAAATAGTTAAATAATTAAAGGTAATAACTAAAAACAACCAAACAAAGAGGTAAAATTTAGCCAAGCCAAAACAAGAAAGGGAGTAATTTCAATCTTCAATCACTGATCCTTGACTTGGGTGGTCAGTCAAGTTCTCACTGAAAGGAGTTTGGAGCTCTTGATTTATTGATTTTGGAGGGAAGTGGTAAAACTGTAAATGCCACATCATAAAAAGGTAAGACTGTTAATCCCACGTCAAATTTTCCTACAAATCTAAGATTACAAATCATGAATCTAGGCCACTTGAATATCAAAGTCAAAAGACCTAGTCTCCCAGCCCTAGTGCAAATAGAAACCTACAAGAGGCGAGCCAGGAGCCCGCCCACTTTTTGGCTTTGTTAAATTTCAGGCTAATTTCAAATCTGACCTAGATCTGATTAAACTGGCTCAAGATCAACTTGAAGGATTAATGTTATAGAAGATTTTAAATTAAAAAAATAATAATTGATTTTGAACCAACTAGAAATTCTACTGATTCAAGCCAAGCCGCCTCAAAATTAGATATATTTGATTCACAAGCCAATTTTGCGCCAATCTATGCATGCTTCATTTGATGTCAAACCTTGGTTTTGATCAGACCAAAATTATATCCTTCTAACAACTAATGATATTTTGAGCAATTATTGCTTGAACTATGTTTCAAAGGTAATATGAGACGAAAAAATTTGAAATGAATGTGCCAACAAACGTCTCACCCAATTGAATCTTCAAAATCCATATCATTAAAATTTGGAAGAAAAATGTTTCTCAAGCCAAGTTTGATTGACATTCAATAACCCCAATGATCATGTAGAGCGTTATTAATATTTCTTTTTTATTGAAATATAATATATGTTAATAAGAAAACAATTAACTGTTTGGAGGTGGTTGGGCTTTTGAAAAGTTCGCTTAAGAAGTATTGCTCAAACATAAATGTGAATGCTAAGGTAGATCAATTTGGAGGACTTGCCAGCGGATTTGAAGATGCTGCTAGCATAAAACAGTATGCCATTAATTCCACTTGCTTGCTGCAACACTAAAAGACCAATTCCTATCTGCAAAACAAAAGAAAAACAATGGTCCATTTAGAAAAAGAAACACAGCTACTTCATAGAAAATCACAAAGAATAAGCAGATTTACCATAAGGGGAATCCAATATTTTCTTTGCTTAAGTTCTTGGAACCGCATAGCAGTTCTTCTATTTGATGATGATGCCACAGCCCTCTGCAAAAAGCAAGGATAAGTGTCTCAACACTAATGGCCTCATGCCATATCTCATTCAGAGAGTGCTTTAGATAATTCAGTTATAGCCAGAGTCTAACAAACGCCTCTAGCACTTAGCATTTCATAGCCTTTATTCTATAGCTTTATGAAAGCAAATAATATCCCTACCTTGATTTCATTAACTTCTATAGAGATATCAGCATCAAAACCCCTTAAGACTTGAAGGGATGATTCAAAATCTTCCATCATTCCCATTTTAGCCTGTATAAACATGATGAGATAGTTCCAAACAGTAATAAAAAAAATGAATTTTGTTACTTTAATTCCTAATGAAAATGCTTGTGCTGTTATACCAGCCATCTTGGAGACTCCGGAATAAAAAACAGACCGGGTATGAGCATTATGCATGGAAGGCTTCCTGCAAATTGTCAAGTGAAGAGATTATCTGAATTGCCTCAAGTTAATGAAATGTTTTAACTCTTTAAACAAGCTTCATAAACACCTCTTATTCAGAGTTGCTCCAAAGTCGCATTTGATTTATTATTATTATTATTATTATTATTATTACTATTTTATGTTTTGAGTTCATACAGAATATGTTTGGTATGATATAATATATTTTGTTGTTTTTAAAAAACTCAGAACAACTTTTAGATGTTTTTTAGGGTTTTAAAAACAAGCTAATTTATTTTTTAAAACAAAAAATAAAAACAAGTAAAAAATGCACTGAACACGTGTGTTTTCTAAAATACAACAGCGATAATAAAATATTATCAGAAGCCTCATCTTTGATACCATCTTAATTTTTGTTGTTGTCTTTGTTTCTAAGCTTCATGGCGAGATCGAAAACACGATTCTTGTCACCCTACTCCGGAGGAAGAACCCCTCCGCACACCAAAACTCCCAAAAAAGTTTCCAATGTATGTTTATAATATTCTATCATGAGATCTTCGTGCTGTGGAGTCCGAGTAAGATTGGCAAGGAGCTCATCGTTAGTTTTCCCTGCACTCTAGTTGATTCTTCAGACTAGCAACTTCACTCTGAAGCCTCTATGCCACTTCATGACTCTCTTTGGTTTTCTTCATCTGCTCCTCCAATTCAGCATCTCTTTTGAGAAAATCTTCTTTTGCCTTTTTTATTTATATTAAATCTGAGTTGCTGCCTCATTAAAAGCTCATCTATAGTCACTTCTTTCTGTAAACTTAAATTATCGGCAGAAAACTCCTTTACCTACCTCTCGAGAGCTATTATCTAGTTCGCATCTTCAACAATTTTAGCCTCAAGACCAGCCTTTTCATCCCTGGGGGTTGTCGGCTCTGCTCGTAGCTCAGCAAGCAAGATATCTTGAAGCAAAATTTTCTCCTTCAACTCCACAAAAGTTAACTCAAACTTTCTCTTATCTCTCAGTAAAGAGCGACGCGATAGGCCGACCGTGTATGTGCATTGCAACTACATCGCAATGCTCTGCATCAAAGGGATATGATAGTCCTCCGCCTTGACGGTCTGCGCCATTTTCTTCAAATTACTAGAACCAATCACCAGGCCAATGTGAAAAGCTTTGGGAGAATATCCTACATCAGCAACCAATCTTAGGTCAAGTTGACTACCGCCCTACTCTCGCCTCGATTCATGAGTAAATTCAACCTCCCATGGATGTGGTGTCCTAGAGAACCTCTGCAAAAGGTTCTTTAGACTGAGTTATTTGTACTCTCTTCTTTTCCTCACTAGTCCTCTGCCCCTTCGAGCGTATTTCGACGAAATCTCTTTTTCCTGAAATAACCTTCCCATTTCCTTCCAGAATGGACTTGGTCATCTGATGGAGGATCCTCTGTGCACCCTTCTATCAACAGTATTCTAGGTGAGCAACGCAAGCCTCCTCGCAGTGACGACACAATACAAAGTCCTCTTCTTCTGCAACGCTAACACCCAGCATCGAAGGACCCGCAGCGTCAAGGGCCAGAGGGAGAATCATTGGCGACCTAATACGATCAGATAAAGAACCGCTGAGTCTCTCTTCCCCTTGTCTTGACTTTAACAAAAAGGAAAGAGGATCCATAACTAGCTAATCAATCATTATCGGAATCAAGGAACTACAAATTCCACAATCAGAAATTTGAGCAAGCACATGCTTCAGGAAATTGAGGATATCGGCTATCTCTCCACACAAAGGAAACGTCAGACCTAGCTGAAACTAGTCAAGATAAACACACATCTCATGCTTATGAATAGTTTTAGGAGTTTCATCCTTCCACGCTAACCTGAAGTCACCGCATTGTCGAAAACATGATTCGACTGTGCTTCAGCCAGCATCTTGCTATCCATTGGTGATCCCTTCGAGAAACTAGCCGACAAGAAGGATATACCATTTTTCAAACCAGGCACCATTGTCAGAGAAGAAACAGTCATGGAAAGACAAAGGGATAGCGCTCAAAGGAGAACTATCGAGAGAAAAAATGGTAACAATACCTCCTCCCACCTCTCTAATGATCAAAGTGCCTGTCCATTTCGCCTCGACACTTACAACTGGGAGATTGAGAAACACGGATTTCAAGTTCTATATTGTCATTCATAAGAAACGTAACGAAATAGGTAACCAGATGATTAACTGTCAAGAAATTTGCTCACATTTCTATTTTAAAACAACATCAAAGGTTGTAGGCTAGAAATCAATTGTCAGTCGACAAATGAAACAAAAAGTCGACACATCACAACATTACATTATTAAAAATAAAAAAGAAATAAATCATTATCTTTAACATCATCCAAAGTTATGACCCTGATTAAAGCAGACGTCAAAGATCTAATCGACCACTAAATAAGAAATTATCAGAATTACTTGATTCAAAATGATGTTAGAGTAAGCTAATTCCATCTCCATCCCCTCTAACTTCCACCGAGTATCATCGAAACTTCCCTTCAACTTCGCCTCTAGCTCAGCAATCTGTTAGCAATATTTCAAATCAACCACCGCCTTCTTAGCCTCAAGATCGAGATGTGCTCTCTGACATCCAAGAAGTTTTCCTCCATCACAGCCATACGCTCCCTCGGGTCATCCTGACCCATAGGGTGGACTGCCTCTAGTTCACGCAGAGTACTCGCCGCAAACCCTACGATAGTCTAGACTTTTTCAGCTGGAGCAAACATTACTTCGGGGACCAGAACGGTATCTCCCTCAAATGCTTAGCTGATAGGCATCATGACCGGCTCCAATATAATCTCGACATCAACAGCACGCATATCTGGGCCATCCATTTTCCTCTCACATGGCGCCTTAACAAGCAGTAAGAGATCATATTCGGTGAGGAAAGAATTCTTAATCTGATAAAATAGCGCTTCATAACCTTCGAGAAGCGAACCAAAATCACCTTGGTTCAGACTCCGCTGGCACTCTCCTTAAGAGTCACCTTCAGTTGCAGAAAGATCCCAAAGATAGTTGTTAGAATAGCTTGATGACTAGCAATAGATCTACACTTCAACAAAAAATAAGAATCCATACACGAACTCCTCATTCCAAAAATTTTAAATTAAGAAAAACAACGCACTTATCACCAGAGCTAAATTCATGAAGTGTCATAAGACTAGACTCACTCTATTCTCTGAATAAATCAAAGGACTGACCTTCCGCCAGATCATTCAAATCAAGAGGAATCCGCCCAACAGAAAAATCTCAGAAGGAGGCAATGTCATCCTCCTTTATCTCATCCACGACTTTATCTAGAGCATCCACGGTCCCTACAAGAAGGGCATGAGAAGTTCATTCCTCTGCGACACTCTGCTCCTTAGAAGACTTACTCCTCTTTCACAAATCTTCCTCCACATATTGATTGATCATCTGTCTTTTACGAAATACAATATCCAAAAGGCGTTCATTCGAAATCCTCGTCTCACCAATACACGCCTTACTCACCGTGAGATGATGAAGATAAAGAAAATTCAGAATAACCATTTTCAAAAACGTAAGCTTATGACTCCCACACAACTCACAATTGTATTATAAAAACTAGAAGGGAGAGTGAACATTTAAAAGGATTCAATAACCACCGCAATTAAAGCTACTTTCAATAACTCGTTTTACTTTTCTTCTTCTAATATCATAAATGACAAGTCAACGACTGTCAAGATACTTGTTTGAAGGTCCGTTATAACATGATACGACACTTATTCTCTAAAAAATGGAAGTCACAAATATCTCTCAAGTACCATCAAGAACAGGAAAGTCTCAATGTCCAACTTTGGTCATTTCAATTTTCTAACTCATATCTCATTTTACTAGAAAAAAACAACTTTCATCGTAAAATAGCTCGTCCTAAATAACCTCTCATGTTCGAGGTTGTAAGTCAATCAGGTCTCAACAAACATAACCAAAATTCAAAATGACTACTTCCTATAGGAGAGCCAGGGCCCCCAAGGACAAACTAATTCACACTCACCCGGAAACTCAAGAGATTGCTTCCTGTAGGTGTAGCACAAAGCGCCCCAAGGCAAAGGCCAGTCCTGGTCGGAGGATGAGTGAAGACGGTATAACTCCTAGCAGTTGTATCTGAAGCACCCCAAGGTCAAGGAAAGTCCATTTCTGAATCATTTTGTGTTCTCGCCTCAAAAATCCTCAAAATGAATTGTTAAACATAACAATTATGGAAAACTTTTGCACTCATACAAAATCGAGAAATCTTCACTCTCATTCTTCTCGTAATCTCTAATTGAAGAGCCAAGAGAATCAAGTAACTAAATGTATACCCAAATATGATCATATAGCTAAAAAAGACTTTTTTTAGGCATACAACATAAAGGTCAACAGGTTTTACGAGGCTTTGAAGGCCTGATCAAAAAATCGAGTCATTTTCTCAAACTAAGCCCACCCGCCGAAATGGTCAAACTGAGCCCACCAGCCAAAGTGGTCGATCTAACCCGGGATGAACCAGATATCAAAGAAGATCATCATCACATACAAGAACATGTGTCCATACTTATTTAAAGTGTCACATGCATCCATTTCACAATCATTTCATTGAAACACCATGGACAGTCGCAGTACTGTACAAAATCTAATTCTTTTATTTATTTTTTTTTCCTTATGTAGAGGAGAAAAAGGGGATGGAAGGGCTCCCTCTGGCTCTCCCTATTCCTCTCTCTAAAACCAAAAAACTCCTCTATATCATTCTCTCGGGCCCTAAAGATTCAGGATAGTAATCAAGAACTCGAGCTCTAGTGACACATCTATCACCTTCTTTCACACCTTCCTCGAAAATAAAGGATCTCTCCCAAATTATATGAGCTCACAGACAATGTGGGATCCTACGTCCTAAAAGGATTTATGATGTATGTATGTATATGCGTGTGTCTTTCTGTTCTAATTCATAGAGGAGAGAGAGAGAGAGAGAGAGAGAGAGAGAGAGATTTATAATTGTATCTTTGACACACCAACTTGTTCGCATAAGTGTTACTTCTAATTCAAAGGAGAGAATTTTTGGCAAGTCTGAAATATTTATTTGTTAGTTTATGTTTAGTAGTAAAAAAACTTGAAACAATAGGTTTTACTACATAACAGAACCATTTGGAAAGGTGTTAGCTACTGATCTTTTGGAATGATATTGAATATGGGTTAAATATAATACAACAGATGAAAAAGGTCACAATAACTATCAAACAAGCAATATCAACATTTTATCAAACTCATGTTAAACTACTTCTTAAAAAACAAATTAGAAAGTACCTAAATATAAATAGACAAGTGTCCTTACGCTCAAACTTTTTCATTTATATCGACAGTCACAAATTTTGCTCAAGCTATTCAACCAACTAAATAAAAGAAGAATAAAGAGGCATGGTTAACACAATTATATTAATTCAGTGACAGTCCTTCACTAAATTCCATAAATTTAAGAATAAAATTGATGCAACTAATCTCCAATTTGCTAATAAATGGGTATTTGAATCTAAATGAGAAGAAAAAGCACAGCATCAATGGTTGGAAACACTAAAATTCATCCATTCTTTTCATTTTTACCCATCACTGCAAGCACTCTCCAATTGACAAACATTCCCAGGAGGTAAGCCAGCATAATGCCTATGGTTACAGAAAGCTGCATAAGTAAAGCTCATTATCAGAACGTATCCTGAATCATCCTCCACAAATTGTAAAGCGGCTATTAGTAACCAACCTGATTAACAGCACCAAGCCCTCCTCTCATGTTCTGAGGAGAAATCTCCGCTATATAAACTGGCACCTAAACAACACCACCGGAAATTAATACAAAGAGCAACTCACAAAACTCACACACCCAAACAATGATCAACTGTAACATTAAAACTCTGCATACCGTATAAGAGATCACGCCAACCCCGAACCCCTCCAGCAACCGGCCCATGTACAAGAACGACGAGTCCTACAACCAATTCTCAGAGAAGCAGCCATCAATGGAGTGTTAGAGCAACAGAACCGCACTTATTAGCATTAAAAAACCCACCTTTGCAAATGAGATAGCCAGCCAACCGATGATGTTTGGTATCGAAGCGATCATAAGAGACTGCGCATAAGAGCCTTCAATTGTTTATGTTTTTGTATCGAAGGCCGAAAAATGGAACCAGACTTATGTTAGACGGATTAAAAACGTACCCCTTTCCGCCCAATGTACTCGGCCATCTGGCCACTGGCAATAGCCCCAAGCATGGCGCCGACGTTCGATAAGGAACCGAAGATAGAGAACTGAAACCAATATAACCCAAATCAATACACAAGCGAGCGGTTTGTTTTAACTAAAAGATAGCGACGAGGGTGAACCTCTGAGAGGGAAAGTTTGAGATCACCGACGATGCCTTCCTGAGTGGGGGAGGAGTAGCCGCAGGTGAAACCGAACTGGATGGGGCCGAGAGCAACGATGAGAGTACAGAGAACGACGGAGATAGAGGAATCGCGGATAACAGAGGCGGAGGATCCCAGCTTATCCATTAGGCTAGATTGCCGCGATCCCATCCCCATCTTGTACCAGCTGCCCGTGTGCAGGAACGGTTTTCGAAGGTCTGACCTACCCTCCTCCCCACTGCTATCATCCCCTCGGAAACTCATCTTTCTCTAATCTAGAGATGATGAGAAAGTAGAAGAGGAGATGTAGGAAGAGGGAGAGGAGGTCCGTCAGGCCGTGAAGTTTGTCCTTTTTGCCAAAAAAGTTGATCTTTTATGGGGGAACCGAGCTTGAACGAGTTGAGAAGGGAGAGGGACAAAGACGGTGATGATTAGCGGCGACAGTGTGTAGAGCAAGCTGAAGTACAGGCGTGGACGGCGTGAAGAGATCAGATTTGGGATAGCGATTCTCCTGACCGTTTCGCTTCTCAGCCTGAGCTCATGCGCTCCACTACTTTTAGCCTGATATTGTTGCTACCAGCGAGCAGAAGCCGTTACGGGGCTTGAACTTGGATTCAGCTTGTGCACAAAACTCTTTCTTGTTGATGCTCTGGTTGTGGCATACCGTTGAAAACAGGGAAAAACAAATGGTGTGCGGAACAAATAAAAGGAAATGATGCGTACAGCGGAGGGCTTCCTCAGCCTCTCCGCACCGCACAATTCATGAGTTTTTTGTCCAATCATGAGAAGGTAGGTAGGAGAAATGCTATGCAAACAGATTTGTAAGAATGTTTATAAACATTGAAAAAAAAAGGTCGTGTAATATGTAATATATCCTCAGAGTGGAACCACATTATGTTCAATGAAATTTGAATTAAAATAATATTTTGATTAATATTTGAACTTTGTTTGAATCAAACATGTACTCTCATGATTGAAAATGGATTGAAGATTGATCTATTAGGATATGAGCATTGTTCATCGATCATTTAAAAATGATTCTAAGTTGGCTCAATTATAGTTTAAAGTAGTTGGGGTTAGCATTTCACACATTTCTTCTCGGATAGTGATAATTGTTACTGTGCTGGCACCCTTTTTAGGAAGCGGGAGCTGAAGTTGATGCAAGAGATTTTTAGCCCGATTGGTTTGATTCTTTAGCAATATATAAGGTCGAGTAATTTTCAGGAGCAAATTACTAGATCTTCACATAATAGATCTCGTAAGATACTGGTCTCAAAGATTTTTCTTCACACAGAATGATTGGAAGTTTTGCAATAAATGGGAGAAAACACTGCACCTGCCCATCTCCCTTAAGATCACTAAAGATGAAAAGAAGAGATGCTCAGGTTTTGGGACTTCAAGGAAATGTAGTTTGAGATGCAGTATGTCCACGACTTTGAGAGCAAGGAATCCCTATTCAAGATTGTTGTCTCTTTTCATCTAAACGTTCTTTTGTGATGTTGTTGAAGAAATCTTAGAAGAACTTCCCAACTCTAGCTCCTACGGGACCTTCGAAGCGGTCGTTGTCGGACATTTACTGCAAGGTGTTTTTTCATAAGTAGAGTAGGAAGAGTAAAAGGTAAGGAAACATTTTCCTAGTTCTTTGAAAATTCATATTTTGAAGAGTGTGATGACTCATTTGTGCACTAGATTCCATAAGGTTATAAACTTTATGAGTTTTTCCTTACATGTGTAAGATTTCTTTGTTCCATAATTCACTAATATGTTTAACTAAACTTACTTATTTTATATGGCTAAAAGAATGGAGCCTAAAGCAGAGCTCAATCTTTCTTTGAGAGATTGGAACTCCAAATTCGTCAAGATCAAGTTCTTCTAAATTGAACACAAGCACTAATATTATTCTAAAGTTGATGAAGCTTCGACCATAGAATCTCAGCTGACGACGTGCAAAATGACATACAAAAATTCTTTATGTTTCAAGTTTGTGGTAGGGTCTTTCCCTCTAAATCCTCAATTTTGAAGGTTTTAGGCTTGATCAAAGTAGTGACAATGTAAGGACCATCTCAGAGGAGGGATAGTTTGTTGAGTTGTGGGCCAAGATAGCTGCTTAGAGAATGTTCGAGGCCAGATCTCCTATAAAAATTGGTTAAGTTTTGACTCTCCGATTGAAGTGATGAGCCACCATCTAGCTGTAAGAAGTAGCCCTAAGGTGGGCTACATTGCATGTTTCTAGGAGGAAGTCTAATTGCTATCAAAATTTCTTCTCATTGTCGCCCGGGTTGTAGCCTTGAACTCGAGGGCTCGGAACCTGATGTCAACCTGGATGACGGCCTCCATGTTGAAGCGCAAGTTGTAAGGTGTCTCCTTAATTGGACTTTGCAAGGTGGTGTGGTAAGCTTAAAGGACATTATAGAGTTCTTCAACCCACTGCCCCCAGCATTCTCCAAGAGAGACCTTAACCCTTTCAAAATGGTTGGATTTGTCACTTTTGTTTGATTGTTCATTTGAGGATGAGCTACTATAATGTGCACCAGTTATATGTGGAGATCCTTGTATAAGGCTGTGAAGCCCTTCCTAGAAAATTGAGTCTCATTGTCAGTAATAATATTTGTGGGGACCTCAAAGCAGTAGAAGAAGTTCTTTAGGAGAAATTGTTTGTCATTAGCTTTAGTGATCTTGACAGGCGCCTCAATTTCCAACCACTTAATGAAGTATTCGATAGCAAAGATGGTGAACTTCTGTTATCTGATAGCTTTCAAAAATGGTCTCATAGTGCCTAACTCCATTGGGCAAAAGACCAAAGACACAAAAGGGACGTAAGTTCTACTGGCAGCGCATGCGTGAGGTTAGAGTACAACTGATAGCTTTTACATTATTGCATGAAGCCTAGTGCATTCTATTTGTTCGTAGGCTAGAAAAACTACTACCTCACTATCTTGATGTTGATAGCTCTACCTCTGAGCTGCTCCTCACATATCTTAGAATGAAGCTCACATTAAGTGTATCCAACTTCGGACAATGGAAGACATTTAAGGTAAGGACCAATAAATGATTTCTTATATAGTTCATTCCCAATGATGATGAAGTCGGTAGCCATACATTAGAGAAAACACGACACGACAGTATCATTGGACAACATTTCATCTTAAAGGAAGGAAATTATGGGATCCATCCAAGAAGACTCTTTCTGCTCATCAATAGAGTGTATCACCCAAGGGTCGTGTATGCAAGGAAAATGTATCTCCTCAATGCAACTTCTTTTAAATAGGTCTTTGATAGTCAAGGTCATAAGTTTGGAGAGGGTATCAGGTAGGATATTCTGCTCCTAAAATATATGGATGATAGGATACATTTCATCCAAGCAAGATGTAACTTTACCAAGTTGAGATGTTATATCAGCTATGAGTTGTGGGCATCAAGTCCCCTTCTAACTGAAATGTGACAAAATAGGAGACAGTATGGATGATCAAGTTTTTCAGTTCACATTTAATGGTGAGATTCAATCTGATGATAAGGGCTTTATACTCAGTGATATTTTTGGTGGATGGAAACTTCAAGCAAATTTTCCTAGAAAAATTGGGCTTCCGGAGAAATTGAAGATCGAACGTGAGTAGTTCATGATCATTGGACCTCCATACAAATTTTAAATGTGTCTTAAAAGAGTTTAAGAGGTCGAACAGTCTATGTATCATTGAGCAGAGAGTTTCTGGCAAGATCTGTCTATCCGGGCCTTTGACTTAAGTTATGAACATGGCGTGGAGTACTTTAGTCAATGGTCTACGCTATGGGAATTTCCATATCAGTAGGGTACAACCTAGTGTCACAGAAATAAAATGTCAACTTAGAGGTACTGGAAGCAATGTTGGCTTTGTCATGATCAACTGAGGGTATTATCATGACTGTGTAAACTCCAATTACAGTGTCGTGCACTCAACGAGAATGTCCCGTTTATATCACATAAAAAATGGATGTCATCAGTAGTGGGCCAAGTTTCTTATAAGTATTATAGGTGAACGGTTCGCATAGCCATGCAGAACAAATGAGTGAAACTCACAGTATTGAAGATATTAACATCCTGATATAGTAGAGGAAGGGTTCCATCATGAGAAGGGGGTCCGATATGAGTATGCTTGAGTGGGTCATTTCTCATTATCTATTGAACTGGTGGTAAGTAAGCCCCATTCAGTTGTGTGACTATCAGTTGATGAGCCTCACGTAAGAGCTGAAGAATCTCATCATATGGCTTATCTATCATGCACACTTAATCCTCCCAAGAGGGACCAGAGGTGCCTTTGTCGACAGGATAATGTCTTTCAGGGTGGGAAGAGGTGAAAGTTTGACATCCTTGGCTTTGTGATTGTCCCTGGAATGATGAGTGTTGGAGCATATTACTTTGTTATTGTGTGTATTACATTTGTTGCTTATTCAATAAGTTGTGTAAGTCCTTCGGTGATGGAATTCTATTTTGCACAAACAAAACTAAATTAAGATGTGTAAGATGATTTGTAGTGGTTAAGTAATTATTTAGCATCTTAGCGTTGCATGAAAGTCCATCTCACACACATGTAATTGAAGTTACAGGTAGGAACACCAAAAATTTTTATGTGAAAATGCGACTACAACAACAAGCCTTTATCTCGCTATGTGGGGTTGGCTATATTAATTCTTTTTCTCCATTGTGTCCTATTGAGTGTCATATTTTTATTTAATTCTAATAAATTATGATTATTTTGTATACAATATGCCCAAGTCTTCTTAGGTCTACCTCTGCCTTTCTTAACATAAGTCGAATCTAAAACATCTACTATTTTAACCTGATCATAAGATGGGTGACCTGTAATGTGACCAAACCATATAAGATGACTCGCTCTAATCTTGTCTGCCACTAGAGCTACATCAACACTTTTCACTGATACATTCATTTCATATTTTGTCTCTAAGTGTCAAGCTACTCATCCACCTAATCATTATCTTCTCAACAACACTTAACATAGTTTTTTTCTTCTCTTTTAAAGGCAACATTCTACGCCATAAAGCATTGCAAGTCTCACCGCCATCTTATAAAATTTTCCTTTGAGTCTAAGCTGTACTTTTCTATCACACAATAGGCTCGATGCAATCCTCCACTTCAACCAACCAATTACCAACCAATTTGAATTCTAATTCTACTAATAACATCCCCATCTATATCACCATTGCTTTGAAAAATTGACCCGAGATATCTAAAATATTTACACCTTTTAATGATTTGGTCATCCATAGGTACAACTCTGCCACTAAATCTATTAGAACTAAAATTTTGTTCCATGTATTCAGTTTTAGATCTACTACATTGAAGGCCTTTAGACTTCAATGTAGGCCTCCGTAATTCAAGTTTTTTCTTGTACTCTTTCTTTAGTCTTATCCACGAGAAGGAAATCATCAGTGAAAAGCATATACCAAGGTACATCCTTTTATAAATGTCCAGTAAGAGCATCCACAACTAAAGAAAAAGGAAATGCTTAAAGTTGATCCTTGATGTAATCGAATGAAAAAAGGAAAATTCTTGGTCAATTCTCCTTCTATTTGAACACGAGCAACATTTTAGTATACATATCTTTTATGACGTTGGTGTAGCAAAAGTTGCACACTTTTCATTGTTATTGCGTCGCTTCTACAGAACGCTCTAATATTTACACAATGATTTAATGAATTTATATCATGATTTTTTGATAAAAATTTTACGATGATTGTCGACTACCTAACGTAACCCTTCATCTTTTGCATTTGGGGCTTGAGACCCTGTGATGACAGTTTTATGTGGAAAACCCTAAAAAAAAA